AATGAGAATAGAGCAAGTCATTTGGTGTTGGATGTGACAATTTTAAAGCATGCTTGCTGTGAGCTGCAAAGTATTTCACCAAAGGTAGACGTCACTAGGGCTTAAACGCCCCCAGATTACTGTTTCTATGAGGCAGTGCAGAATTGGCTCGGAGACGACATCTTGTGCACACCCATCAAAACTTGATTGACAACACCAAGTGTGAGTAGACCACGAGGTGGCCGAGGTGGGGACGGGGGTAAATGGGGAGTTGGTGAGCAAAGTAGAGAAGCTTAGGGCGTTTATTAGCTCCTTCGTTGTCCGATGGCTGGTACTTCTTCCGAGGATGCATATCATCACTGTCTAGACTCTCTCCAACGAGGCCCAGCGCGACGCGAAGGGACGTATGAAGTGCATACTCGTGGCTGTCACGGGTTCGCCTGCAGCCTGTGTTGTCAAGACACGATGTAGGCAAGTGCTACCTCAGGCACGAGCGTAATTCGATAGACGAGTAAGGTGGGGGAGGGGGAGCGTAGAGGGGACAATTGGCGCATGGCTGGTTGGCCGGAATTCGACCATGATAAAATTCCTATAAATCCGCAAGAAAATCAGCTCAAGAGTGCTATGGCAAGAAAGTACAGTCGATCCACGCATGACAGTGGTCAGAAGGAGAACTGATCGCGGTGTCATCTTCTCTCTGAGACTGACGGAACCTTAAATCCAATATCTGAAGGACTCTATTGTAAAGTTCAGGCTGGCCACGTTTCTATCGGCTGGCTTCACGCTAGTTGACTGACTCGAGCACCGAGTCAAATGGACCTGTGTGTGGTACAATGAGGCCCTGGGTTGAGATGAGGAGAAAAATAGATGAAAAACTGGGCAAGCTGGGGTTCTGTAAGAGGTTCTATGTCACACGCTATTTCTCTCTGTTCATATAAATAAATAAATAAATTTTTGTGTGTGTATGTACGTACGTATTTATGCACGTATATGTTCATGTATGCATGCATGTATGTATGTTTGTTTGTATGTATGTATTTATGTAATTGTGTCTGTATGTTATTATATATGTATGTATGCGAATAGTTGTGTGTGTATGTGTATATAATACGGAAATTCTTTTCATTGTTGTGTTGTTTAAGAAATTTATACAGTCAAGGTATCCGGCCGTGCTGGGGAGAAGAAGCGAAGAGTGTGGTCACAAGTCATCTGGATAGGAGTGAATCTAACTTTAGATGAGGAAGGATAAAGAAAGGACCGGACGAGAACGGTCACCAGGGTAGGAGAGTGAGGCGGAGGCAAGTTGGTTCCGATGCCTCTGAGACTATATTTTGGGCGTCAGTTGGAGACATAGCACTCGGCACTGTTTGGAGCAGGCCTCCTCGACCAAGGTTTCGTTGTTCAGAAAACCCTCTGTGCCGGTTGCTAACGGCAGACGGATGGCCAGTCCTCGCTCCAGAGGACTCGGCGTCTGCCAATTCTTGCACTTTCCACGAGCCGCAAACTCATAGTTGCCGTTCACGTAGATCGGTTTGTGGCCAATCCAAATGCAATTGGTGCTGAAGAAAAGACAGAAGGTGGGGGCAAGAATGAAAGAAAGTGAGGCCCGAAAGACATGTCGGTGGTAGCAGATAAATGAATGAAAGCTGGCTTTGGAAGTCTCCTTTAGTTGGTTATTGTGACATGGCGTCTCCGCTCGGGGGATGGAATTCAAGATTTGGTCTGACCAAAAAATGTCTGATGCAGATTTTAAAATGTTAAAGTGTGCCAAGAAATCCTCGGCTCATCGCATAATCTAGTGTTCAGTGAAGCTTGATGACAACTACTTTCTCTATTTGATGATGTATGCTTCGGCATGGGATATGCTGTTTAAACACGACTGGGTCGAGTAAGTTCGAAATATCACTCACTGTAAAACAGAAATCTATCTTCAATTCATTTGCGAACAAATCACAAGTAATTAGACAATATTTTGATACGAAATTAATTGTTCAAGTATAGGAACCTATAAAAAGATGCTTCATAGCTGGCAATTCTTCAGTCAT